TCAGCGGGCCTCCGTTGCTCCCCGCCCGCCGTCGTCGTCGTCGTCGTCGTCGTCGTCGTCGTTGTGGTCCTGGTCGTGGTCGTGGTCGTGGTCGTGATCGTGGTCGTCGTGGCCGTCGTCGTCGTGGTCGTGGTCGTCGTGGTCGTCGTGGTCGTCGTGTTGGTCATGGTGGTCGTGGTGGTCGTGGCGGTCGTGGTGATAGTGATGGTGATGGTGATATTGATGGTTATGGTGATTTTGGTGGTGGTGGTGGTAGTCTTCGTCGTCGTCGTCGTCTTCGTATTCGTCGTCGCCGTCGCCGTCGTCGTCGTCGGGTGCTTTGGGCGCTCCGATACACATTGAGTTAGTTATGTCACGTGATGTATGGAACTAAAAGAAAAATTAATTCACACACGTGGTGGGCATCATTACACTTGTGACGTTATGCCCCCTGGTGGGTCCCAAGACACATTTGGATGTGCCGAATGGTAGACGTCACGTGGCACAGCCACCACTGACAGAATGCCTGCTGGTATCCGGCGTTCGGCCACGTGGCGGCGTCAAGAGAAAACCTTTCCCAGCCTGTAGTACTAGTACTAGTACCTACTACTACCACTACTACTACTACTACTACTACTACTACTACTACTACTACTACTACTACTACTACTACTACTACTAGTACAAGGTCAGTCTACACGAGCGCCCAGGATCATCATCATCATCATCATCATCATCATCATCATCATCATCATCATCATCATCATCATCATCATCATCACCTTCGCCATGAAAATCGTTGATTCTCTCCGCCAGACCCCCGCATTTTATCATCCCCAGGAGATTATTTGACGGAGTACTAGGTTAGTATTTGTTGCAGAGGATGATGGGGCCGTTTTTGGTTTGGCTGGGGGCATACGAGTTCATATTTAGGATTGGCGATGGGGCAGAATCGCGTGCAAATTGCAATACGAAATGGAGTACCGTAAAGTCCAGGGGGGAGCGATATCTGAATATCCTAAAAGAGCTGATAATCGATGTTGTTTGAGGGAGCTTGTCTTCAGAACTCACGTCATCCTGACCCCCAGCGATCGATGGAATGAACCCGGAAGCCGCCCATCTTGTTTTGTTTCAGGGAAATCAAAAAAATCCGCGAAACTTGGGCAATTCGGTAACGAATTCAAAACAAGCGCTCTTGCGTGAGACATCATCTTCATAAAATTGACCCCCAGAGCTTCCCCAAGGGTGTCTGCGAAAGCCAGGAAATCCGACGACGAATTCCACACCCGCGCCCGGGCGTGGGACATCATCGGAAAACCGGCTCCCCGAACCTCCCCAAGGAGGTTCTCAGAGGCCCTCTTGTTTTGTTTCCGGGACCTCCAGGAAATCTGGCGACGATTCCAAGCCTTGGATGCAATTCCTAGGAGGTCAAATTCTGATTTTGCCCTGGTCCGAAATCGGGTTAAATCCCGTTTAATTCCGTTGAATATGGCTTAATCCCGCTGAATCCTGTTTAATCCGGCTTAATCCGAGGCCCACTCCGGCGTAACAACCCCCCAATGGGGCTTAATTCTGTTTAATCTTTCCGACGAAAACCTCCCAGCAGTTGCCTCCTAACAAACCGGCGCGCTCGCGAGGGACATCCTCGGAAAACCGGCCTCCCGAGCCTCCCCAAGGAGACCTTCGAAACGCGCGCCGGGGCGTGCTGGTGGGGCGCATAGGGCGCGTCCCAGTCCGGGGCTCTCGCTCGAGGCATCCTCGCGAAAGTCGACCAGGGCGTGTCCCAATCTGGGGCTCCCGGTCGAGACACCCTCGCAAGGTCGCCAAATCGCTTCCCGAGAGAGGCCCCCGAGACGATGACGGGGATGAGCAGGGAGGAAGACGCAGGAGGACGGAGGAGGAAACGAGGATTGACGAGGGGAAGAAGAGGAGGAGGAGGAGGAGGAGGAGAAGGAGGAGGAAGGGGGAGAGGAAGGGGGGGAGGAAGGGAAGGAGGAGGAGGAGGGGGAGGAGGGGGAGGAAGAGCAGGAAGATGAGGAGGGGAAGGAGGAGGAAGAGGAGGAGGTAGAGGATGAGGAGGAGGGGATGCTGATGATGGTGATGATGATGTGATGATGCTGATGATGCTGATGCTGATGCTGATGATGCTGATGATGATGGTGATGATGGTGATGCTGATGATGCTGCTGATGATGCTGATGATGATGGCGATGTTTATGATGAATGATAATGTTGATGCAATGGGCGATGATGATGATGATTATGATGATGATGATCATGCTGATGCTGATGCTGATGAGGATGATGATGACGATGATGATGATAATGATGATGATGATGATGATGACCAGGATGATGAAGATGATGATGATGATGATGATGATGATGATGATGATGATGATGGTGATGATGATGATGACGATAACGATGATGATGATGATGATGATGATGATGATGATGATGATGATGATGATGATGATGATGATGATGATGATGATGATGATGATGATGATGATGATGATCATGCTGATGATGCTGCTGCTGATGATTGCGATGTTGATGATGATTTTGCTGGTGATGGTGCTGATGGTGATGAGCAGGGAGGAAGACGCAGGAGGACGGAGGAGGAAACGAGGATTGACGAGGGGAGGAGGAGGAGGAGGAGGAGGAGGAGGAGGAGGAGAAGGAGGAGGAAGGGGGAGAGGAAGGGGGGGAGGAAGGGAAGGAGGAGGAGGAGGGGGAGGAAGGGGAGGAAGAGCAGGAAGATGAGGAGGGGAAGGAGGAGGAGGAAGAGGAGGAGGTAGAGGATGAGGAGGAGGGGGATGCTGATGATGATCATGATGGTGATGATGACGTTGATGATGCTGATGATGCTGATGATGCTGATGATGCTGATGATGATGGTGACGATGGTGATGCTGATGATGCTGATGATGCTGATGATGATGATGGCGAAGTTGATGATGATGATAATGTTGATGGCAATGATGATATGACGATGATGATGATGATGCTGATGAGGATGATGATGATGAAGATGATGATGATACTGATGATGATGATGATGATGATGACCAGGATGATGATGACGATTATGATGATGATGATGACGATGACGATGATGATGCTGATGATGATGATGATGCTGATGATGCTGCTGATGATTGCGATGTTGATGATGATTATGCTTGTGATGGTGCTGATGGCAATGATGGTATGATGATGATTATGATGAGGATGATGGTGCTAATTATGATGCTGAGTGTGATGATTATGATGATGATGATGATGCTGATGCTGTTGATGATGCTGCTGATGATGATGGTGATGGTGATGATTATGGTGATGGTGATTATGTTGCTGCTGCTGATGATGATGCCGAGTATGATGCTGTTGCTGATGCTGCTGCTGATGCTGATGCTGATGCTGATGCTGCCGCTAATGATGATGATGATGATGATGATGATGATGATGATGATGATGATGATGATGATGATGATGATGGTGGTGTTGATGATGATGATGATGATGATGACGATGACGATGATGCTGACGATGATGATAAGGAGGAGAAGGAGGAGGAGGAAGAGGAGGAGGAGGAGGAGGAGGAATATGAGGAGGAGGAGGAGGAGGAGGAGGAGGAGAAGGAGGATGAGGAGGAGGAGGAGGAAGAAGAGAGTTGGAGGAGGAGGAGGAGGAGACCGAGGAGGAACGAACTCCAGGGACCTCAAGAGATTACCTGGGAGGATGTGGAGGAGAAGCTGGAGGTCTCCAGCATGGGAGCGGGAGGGATTGGATGCCTCCGCCTCCCGTTCACTCTCCTCTCGCCCACAAGCACACGCCCCTTTCTCTAAATACAGAAACTCTCGATGAATCGCAGAGCGGCCGGGCTGTACAATAGTGTTGTGCAATCTATGCTGTGCCAGCATTCTATGTGGGGCAATCTATGTTGTGCAATCCATGTGGGGCAATCTATGTGGCTGTGACGGGGCTGCGACGGCGGCAACGTATGCGCTAGATCGTCAGACAGGCCCAGACGACGGGCGGCGACGAGGCGGCGATGGGGCGGCGACGACGGCAAGACCGACAGACAGGCCCAGACGACGGGCGGCGTCGAGGCGGCGACGGGGCGGCGACGACGGCAATATAGCTCCCATACCGACAGACAGGCCCAGTTCCCTAAAGGAGAAGTGCGAGCCGCTAAGGGCAAGCACTGTTCGGGGAATAGAGGTATCGATATAAAGTCATGCCGCATAGTAAGGATGAACCATTGTCCGAGGGTACCCTTTCATCCTTGCCCCTTCGGTCCTTCCCGGGCAACTTTCGTTGGCCAGCCCCTTTGGGTACCCTTCGGGTGGGCTGCATCCTTCGGTTGCGCGGCGTGACGCCACTGGGGGGCCAAGCCTGACGGATGCGCGATGGGCAGGGCACCCTTGGCCATCTTCGGGCCCAGTTTTGCCGTCTTTCGAGTCGCGGGGGCCGCGGCCCCAAGGATGCGCGACGCGCAGGGTAATTGTGCTCATCCTTGGGGCCAAGGCCAAGGTTGATTGTGTATGCTTGTGTGGTGCGCCCGCGACGCCGCCCCGCGCTCGCTGCCAGGGGCTGCCCTGCGGCTCGGCCGCCCCGCGCGCCCCCCCGCGGCCTCGCCGCTCCTTTCCCTCCTCTTGCCTCTGCGGCCGCTTCTCGTCTTCTCCTCCCCTCTCTTGCACGCGGGACAGGTCGCAATACCGCAGCCCGGGTTCCCTGGACGCGCGCGCGGGCTGCCTCTGCCGCGCTGCGACGCAGAACGGCATGCTTCGGGGCTGGACCCGAGCGGTGCTTTGCACCTGTTTCTTCCTTTTGGGGGAGGGAGGTGCAGGAACACAGGCAGAGCGAAACGAGAAACAAAGCGAACACAAAACGAAGCACAACGTTTAGGTCCAGCCCGAGGAGGAGGAGGAGGAGGAGGAGGAGGAGGAGGAGAGGAGGAGGAGTGAGAAGGGAGGAGGAACCGCACGCGCGCAACCTGTCGGACGAGGGGGGCGGGCGCAGGGCGGGCCCCGCCGCCCCCCCCGCGCCCCCGGGCAGCCCGCCATGCTGCCGCCGGGCGCGCCGCCCGCGCGGCCGCCCGCGAGGGCGCCCGGACGAGGCTCCCCCACCGCCGGGGAGGTCCTGAGGACGGGGCGCACGAAATCTCCTCCTCCTCCTCCTCCTCCTCCTCCTCCTCCTCCTGGGCCTCCTCCTCGTCCTGGGCCTCCTCCTTCGGCACGAGCGACATGGGTGCAGTGGGGGCCCATGCCGAGAAGGGCCCCGGGTGCCTCCCGGGTGCTCGGGGTTTCCTGGGTTTCGGCGGTTCTGCCGCGAAGAGCGCGGCGCTCTCACACCCAAGATGATCGATGGACGCCCTGGGGTCTCAGGGTTGAGTTTTTCGTGGGAGGTTTCTGGTGGACTGGCCTCCACTGAAGGGAGGAAGCGGGCGCGACGCCGAACAGCAGGTCCTGCTCATTCTGAACAGGGCCCGCTGCCCGCGCCACCGCGGACGGTGTCCGTGGGAGGCAGGAGTCCGCCTGTCCATAACAGCGGCCGGTGTCGGTGTGGGGCATCGTGCCCACTGTTTCCGTGCCCCACTTTGGGCGTCCCGTTCTGGTATGCGGCCGGGACTGCAGAGATGGCGTGCGATGTGGCGCCGCCAGCCTGGCTCTTACACGCCACCCCCCCACGCGTGCAGCGAAGAAGCCCTGGCAGGGGGATGGCGCGCATAGAAAGGGGCCCTCCTGGAGAGATCGCCTCGCGTGGGGCTGCCGTGCCTTTCGGAGACCGATGCTGCACTCGTCTCTTTCCAGCGCCAAGACTTTGCTGAGGTGTCGCGGGTCTCTTGGGTTGGTGCTGGGCCCCCCCACACTCCCAGGCGGCGCCTCCAGCACCGATCTCAAAAATCCGGGCAGGCCTCTGACACGGTATGTCTGTGCCGTGCCTCGGCTGTCTCGAGGAGCCTGCCCCGGCCGGAGGAGCTCGAGGGCCTCGTCAGGTACAAAGGCCCCGCCTCCCAGAGGGAGGTGTTGAGGCAGGCGGCGACCAACTCTGAGCTCCAGAGGGCCGTCGAGAAGGGCGACGCCGAGAGGGTGGCGGCGATCTTGCGCTACGGCGCCCGGGGGCGCTGCGTCAACGTGAACGCGCCGCTGTGGCCCACGCGGGAACGAGTGCTGCATCTGGCCGCGCGGGGCGACCGCCGCGACATCTGCGTCCTGCTCTTGGAGGCGAGGGCCGAGCTCCTCCTCCTCCTCCTCCTCCTCCTCCTCCTCCTCCTCCTCCTCCTCCTCCCCCTCCTCCTCCTCCTCCTCTCTCCTCCGTCTACAATGATTCAATATGAAAATACTTCCCTCTTCCCCTGATGGCGTCCGGGTGATGGCCGCGCACCCTCCGCGTACTGTTTTTACACACAGGATGCCCGGGAAATCCCGGGAAACGACTCTCGCTGAGGCGCCGGCGTCATTTTTTCCCAAAATGCTGCTCTCGTTGAGGCGCCGGCCTCATTTCTGCTCCCGAATCGTTCCGAATCGTGCTCCCGCTGCAGCGTGGGCCTCATTTTCGGATCGGTGTTTGGCCTCCGTCGTTCAGGATGGCGTTCTCGCCCCAGCGCGGGCCTTTTTCTCGCGCGCCCATCCGCCCGCCACCACCGCGCCGCACCACCACCACCACCACCACCACCACCACCACCACCACCACCACCACCACCACCACCACCACCACAACCACAACAGCACAACAGCACCAGCAACAGCACCAACACCACCACAACACCAGCACCACCACCACCACCACCTGCACCACCACCACCACCATCACCACCACACCACCACCACCACCACCACCACCACCAACCACCACCACCACCACCACCACCACCACCACCACCACCACGACAACCACGCACACACGCACGCACGCACGCACGTGCACCACCACCCACTACGCACGCGCGCGCGGAGCCACAGGTCCGCTACGACACGCGTCCGCGGATAAGGAAAATCAGCGCCATGGTAAGGGATGGGAGGGATGAGTAGGACGTCAGATATGACGCGAGCGCACCTAGCTTGCCCCTCTCCCCCTCCCCCACCTCCTCCTCCTCTCCCTCCTTCCTCCTCCCTCCTCCTCCCCCTCCTCCACCTCCTCCTCCTCCTCCTCCTCTCCTCTTCCTCCTCTCTCCTCCTCCTCCTCATCCTCCGTCTCCCTCTCCCCCTCCCCTCCTCGCCTCCTCCTCCTCCTCCTCCTCCTCCTCCTCCTCCTCCCTCCTCCTCCTCCTCCGCCTCTCCGTCTCCTCTCTCCTCCCCCTCCCCCCTCCTCCTCCTCCTCCTCCTACTCTCCTCCCCCCCCCCCTCCTCCTCCTCCTCCTCCCTCCTCCTCCTCCTCCTGCCTCCACCTCCTCCTCCCCCTCCTCCTCCTCCTCCTCCTCCCCCTCCTCCTCCTCCTCCTCCTCCTCCGCTCCTCCTCCTCCTCCTCCGCCTCATCCTCCCCTCCTCCTGCCTCCTCCTCCTCCTCCTCCCTCCTCCTCCTCCTCCCCTCCTCCGCCTTCTCCGCCTCCTCCTCCTCCTCCTCCTCCTCCTCCTCCTCCTCCTCCTCCTCCTCCCCCTCCTCCTCTTGGAGGCGAGGGCCGAGCTGGACTGCGAGGAGATCACCGACGGGAAGCACCCGCTACACGAGGCCTGCTGCACAGGCAGCTGCAGTGCCGTGGAGCTCCTCCTCGACCGGAGGGCACGCCTCGAGGAGGCCAATTTCACCGGGATGCGCCCTCTCCACTGGGCGGCCGCCGCGGGCCACGCCGGCGTCGTGGACCTGCTGTTGGACAGGAGTCATCGAGCACAAAAGATCCACTAACCCTAATGACAGATGAAGACGGGGCCTCACTGAGGCCCCCGTCTGCGCATCAATTAGGGACCGCAATTCTGGGCGGTCTGGCCTGACACGCCTGCAGAGGAGACCCTCTCATCCCTCCTGTGCTTGGCCCTCCCAGCTCGGGTCCCCCTCCATCGGGTGAAGTTTTTTTTTTTTTAGAGTCCAGGAGGGCTCAGTGCGACGCGCGCTCCGGCAACACCTGGGCTCCCCTGCACCACGCCGCCGCCGCGGGGCACGCGGCCTCCGTGCGCCTGCTCTGCGGGCGGGGCGGCGCCGTCGACGCGGAGTGCAGCGGCGGCCGCCGCCCGGCCCACGTGGCGTGCCAGGCGGGGCACCTGGAGGCCGCCGCGGCGCTCCTGGACCACGAGGCCGGGGGCCCCAAGCTGGGGCCCTGAGGAGCGGGGTCCTACGGTTCAGTCGGGCCTGTCCCTCTGCAGGGGGAAAACTCAAAAATAGGGAAAAAATAGTCTGGGAACTATTTTTGGGCATCTTTTTTGAGCATTCTTGAGCATTTGTTACGGTTCGTCCAGAATCCCCTTGTATGGGGGACAGGCCCGACCTGATCCTGCGGATGGGGATGGGTCCGAGGGTGGGCTTGCGCTGTTTGGGGCGCCTCGTCCTCAGGTCCTCCCCCCCTGATAGGGGGCCACATGCGAACCCTACCCCTACCCCCCACGATCTCTGAGGGGGAGGGTGGGGTTCACTTCGCTCGGGCGCTCCCGAGCGAAATGAACCCCACAGACCCCCTCAGAAATCGTGGGAGGAGGAGGAGGAGGAGGAGGAGGAGGAGGAGGAGGAGGAGGAG